GGTGAAAATTATCTTTGAATTAGGTCATTGGGTTGCGCTCTGGAATTTTTACTAAAATTTTATTTATTGATTTATTTTCAATTAAATTTTTTTTTTTTCAATTAAATATTGAATAGGCCATTTTTCATGGGAAATATGTCGATTTTAAATTGTTCAAGACATTAAAAAGATATATTTAAAAAATCGAAAATCTACTTTTTGCGAAATAATTGCGAAATTGTTTTTTGGAAAAAAATTGAAAAATGAAATTGAAAAAATTTGAAAAATGTCCGTCTTTAAAGAATTTCCATTATTTAGTTGGAAGGAAAAAATGTTAAAAAAATTATTTTTCATAAATTTTTTTTTTCTGTTATTCTGATGATGAAAAATTTAAATTAAACAAGTACGTAGATTTTCCCATAAAAAATTGGAAAAAAAATTCTTTGAGAGTATTTTTTTCAAAATTGTAAAAAAATGGTTGACAAATTCAAACAATTTCTATTATTTATTTATATGAATCTAAAATTTAAGAAAATAAAAATTTAGTCCACAAATTTAATGTTTAAATATCTCAAAAATAAAAAAATTACTAGACGTTCTGTCCAAAAAATTTAGAAAGAAAGAAAAATCTACTTTCTATGAAATAATTAATAGCAAATAATTGATAAAAAATTACCTCTTTTTTTCGAAATTGTAAAAAAATTGTCCATATTCAAACAATTTCCATTATGAATTTATAAAAAAGTATTCAATCGACAAATTTACTGTTTAAACATCTAAAAATTAATAAAATTAACATTATTCCCAAAAAAAAACCGAAAAAAACTCCACTTCCTGTAAAATAATCAATAACAAAAAATAAAAAAACCTAGACAATTATTTGTAATCGGAAAAAAATTCGTCTAAATTAAAAAATAGCTTGTGGACCCCCAGAGTCTTTGGAATCATCATCGCCTCCTCACTCCAATGATCCACCACTTGAGTGCCCATTCCCCCACTCCGCGCAGTCTATTTTCGCCCCCATTCTCCCCGATTTTTTTTCCTCTCCCCCCTCCCAACTCTCGGAAGATGGATTCGTCGCCAAGGCATGATGAAATAGCCACGCGTTATGCTCGTTAAATCACGGAAAATAAATGAGGAATAAATGACCCGGTTAATGACATCTCCATTGACTCCAAAGCGACCCATTTTTTAAAAATCCAATTCCCCGAGGTCAATTTGCCATAATGATTCATTCATTTCTCAATTCGCATTTGGATCAATTTCACGGGGGTCAAGAGATCGTATTTCTCACTTCTCTCGAGGGTTCAAAAGTGCCTGAACTCTGTCTCTTTTTTGTTTTGACTCTGGCTCTCTCTCTCATCCGGTGTTTGATTACCCACGGACGCTCGACTCGTATCATTCGGAGTCATTTTTTTTTCTCCCGGTTATTATTGGTGTAACATCTCTTGAGGTTCGACGAATGGTTCCAACCCCCGGCTCTTCGCTTGTTTGTTTTACTTATTTTTTCTCGTTCTCTTGGGGTGACGCTGGCGGAGGCGAGTGTGTAAACTATCGGGGGATTATAAATGGCCGCGATATTCGGGGGGGGGGGNGGGGGGGGGGGGGGGGGGGGCAAGTGGTGGCGGGCGATGTATGGTCAGACGTCGGCGGCCGCACGCGTGTAACTGCTGGCAAATGCGGTTTTTTGGTGGTGCTAAATAGAATTTTTTTCGGTTGGACAAAGTGAGAGCGTTAATTCAGTTGCGAAGCGGTAAAACGATTCAACTCGACTTGACGCTTCGCTGAGTTTTCGAGGGATATCTCCGAATCTAAGCGAAATAGCGAAATTTTTATTATAACCATTTTTGTAGCTCTCAATTCAATCTTTAAAAAAGATTTTACCAAAAAATTTGCTATCTCCCTTAACTTCTGAGATATTCATTAAAAACTGACCAATAGTCTAAATCGATTGATCACAAATTCAGCCAGAATCCATTGACGTACTTTCATTCCAAATTTATTTCAGATTTCAATCTTTGAATTCGAGCTGTGTTCACACTACCTTAAGCTTCTTAAAACGTTCTTCGTTTTTTCATAGTGTTCCATTTTGCCCCAGTCTCGCCTATTAATCAATACATCGGATGTAATAGAAAGTAATAACTTTCTCTGTCTTGATTTTTTTCTCATAAATAAATTAATAGGGGAATCAGAAGGGTCGAACTTCGTAAAGTAGTATGAACAAACTCCAGTTGAGTCGTTGAGTGATCGAGAAAAATAGTTATAGCTGTAAATCTCCTCAAATAGAACATCCGAAATAAGTTGGATCTCTGTCAAGTTCAATGAGAAAAAGGTCATATCGACTGGTTTGAGAAATTATTTTTGTTTTAATTCCCACAAGCAGAAGCCGTTCCGTTTGCAAAGTTCACTGGAACCGTTGCTTTATTGGGATTCACCGGAATCGGAGAATGACTCCGAGTTCATTCGGATTTTGACTCCAAGTTGAATTGATGATCCTGTGACCCTCCAAATTGAGAATTTCGTCTAAATCTAATCCGTGATCCTGCATAATCGTCTGTGCTTTTCATCTACGATATCTTCTGACCCAACGATGCGATTTGGATGAGTCACATCTCATTTCGAAGATTATGAAAAAATCTTGAGAATGAAAGAAAAATCGTTCATTTTCACTCTGCCAATCTCCAGTTATTGACAGCTGAATATGACGGGCTTTTTAAAGCATTTAAATTTTTTTTTTGTTTTCTCTAAATGAAATAATTGTTTTGAATTTATTTAGAATGAATGAATTATTCGTTTCTAGACTATAAGTGAGTATGTAAACAAGGAAATAACACGAGATTAGAGATTGAAATAGTGAGTAAGAGAGGCTTGTGTAGTTGTGAAACAAAGAATACTTTTGTAACATCAAGGAAACAAATTGAATTGAATTGAATTATTCATTTCTCATGATTATTGTTCGTCATTTTTCAATATTTTTATGGAAATTAATGCATGAATTTGTAAATTCCCCGCAAAAATAGGGAAAAGAACAGAAAAATTCCGAATAAAATTTTTAATTCACTTCAAATATGTTTTGTTTTTCACTTAAAAAATTGGAAAACAAATTCTCTATTTTTTTTTAATATAAAAAAATCCCGGATTTCCCATCAATGTCATAATCCCAGGCATTACAAAGTTTTTTGAACCTCCTCTCCTAAACTCCGCATATTTGATTTTCATCAGTCACTCGAGACTCCCCAGAATGCAAATTTCTTTTCCCTGAAAACATTCGGTGATTACATCGTTGCGGTATTTTCGTGAAAAGCATGCGATATGTGGAACATAATAAAGTGATGGATAACAAATCCAGCATCGCTCTTATTCTCAGAAATCTGTGGGCAACTCGTTGTTCCATTAAATTCCCAGAAAATGACGAAATGCAATTTTAAGAAGGAAAATTCTAAAATTCTCGGTAATCGTGAGTTGTCGGAAGGAAAACAGGTCACTAGCACAGTTCTACCTCTTGTATTTTAACACGATTATTCCACCCAAATAGCCCTATTACCCCAACAACTGTTCGAAAAATAAGAACGACCCGTTTTGTCCCAGTACTTCTCAAAATATTGAAAACAATTTTTTTTAATTTTAATTTTTCTTCCATTTTTATTACATTTTTTGTCAATATTTTGATGACTGAGGAAATAAAAATGACCCGTTTTGCCCCAACGCTTTTCAAAATTTGAAAAAAAAAAAAAAAATTCTTAAAATTTTGATTTTGATTTTATTCTATTTTTTGTGTTATTTTCAATTTTTTTTTTTATTTTTTTCTTAATTTTTTTTTTTCATTTTTATGACATATTTTTCATTTCAATATTTTGATGACTTGAGGAAATAGAAATAACCCGTTTTGCCCCAGTACTTCTTAAAGTATAACAAAAAATTTGTTCAATTTTTTTTCCAAAATTTTTTAATTAGTTTTTTTCATTTTTTACGTTTTTATTATATAAATAAACAAAAGAGAATTAATTCAAAAAACAAATGGGGCAAAACGGGTCAAGACTTGAAAAAAAAATTGATAAAAACAAATTTTTATAATTATTGATTAAATGTTGAGAATTCGACGAATTCTCTCTAATTACCCCGAATCCCCGTGAAATTGAATCATCACCCATCACTCCACCTCAATCACCCTCAATTGAATTCGATTAATGAATCGAATTAGTCTCGTGCGTCCAATGTTGAATGGTGCGCCATGATCGAGGATGGGTGAGAAGTCTCTCCTCGCGTCTGCCCCGACGATTCCCGATGCTAATTATAGTACCTAAGCCCAACACCATGGGCTCCTGCGTGTAATCTACGAGTAACACTAAAATAGAATCCACTGGGATGCGTTTGGTCGGCTGTGGACCGTCTCACCGCGGCACCGAAAACGCGCGAGAGTCGTGACACTTGGACGTTTGATTTACAAAAAAAAATTGAGAAAAAAATTGAAGAAAAAAAAATCGGAAAACAGTAGAAATAAAGAAAAAATTATTCATAATTTTTTTGTCTGACGCACCGCATCCTCTGATTTCTTACATGTTTCGTATCAAACCTCTGTTTTCTTACATTCCGACGGCACGACTTCCAATCGAACGACCAATAGAAAAGGCCAGGACGTTCGCGCATGCGCATTACTACTGCGCATGCGCCGTTGCTGTAATTCCTCCCGCGCGTGGCGCCTATACATGCGCAGGAGCGGTAATTCCACCTGCGCGTGGCGCCTGCACATGCGCAGTTGCTGTAATTCCTCCTGCGCATGTCCGTTATTACGAGGACGTTACACCCTGCCGTCTTATTGCGGCAAGGGATGAGAATATAAAAAAGTAGAGGTGATATTATAAACAACCGGGAAAATATAAGAAATGAGAGGTTCTGCTGTATTAAAATTAGAGGTGCCCTATAACCTTGACAATATTTTTATGTTTTTTTTTGTTTCATTTATAAAATAAACTAGATGAAAATGTTGAGATGCAATAAAAAAATTTCAAATGGTGTTTCAGTACGAGAAGTGACATTGTCGGAGCTCAGGGACTCTGTGGCGAGGACCCGTGAGAGGGTTAAACTCGTGTGTAGAACGAGGGGTTCACCACCTCCGCGCGTGCACTGGCTCAAGGACGGTGTGCCACTTAATCCACGTAGGGGACTCAAAATTCAACATAAACGGTGAGATAAACCATTGTATTGTTTTCTGTTCGCCTAGGACTAATTATCCGCGAATTAATGAAGTTAATAGTGAATTAATTGTTTTCATGAATAGCGAAATGGACAAATATAGACCTTTTACGAGAGGGTTGGGTAAAGTCGAACGCGGGGCAAAGTGGAACGGTAGTGAATTTCGTTGCTTGACCGTCAAATAGTCTTCAAGGTCAGGCGGGAGGGCCGAACGAACTGCTCGGGAAGTTCAAACTTGTGAAGGGTCAAATGGAGGACAGGGGGAGGGGTAAAAAGGGTCAAACGGGAGAGACGAGCGAAGTGATCACTCCATTCGTCTCTCTCGTTAGACCGTTAAAACCATTTGACCTTTCTGATTACTCACCTCGTCTCTCCCGTTTAACCCTTAAGAATATTTGACCCTTCACCTCATTTTTTTTAAGTAATAGATCGAAAAAAAGTATGAGTTTGGTTCCACATTCGTCCTGTTCAATCGTTGCTTTATCGTGCATTCGCTTTCAGAATGTTTTAATGTGAGAGTGACGCAAAGTGGAACGGTAGCGAATTTCGTTGTTCAAGGGTCAAACACCCGTGAAGGTCAAATGGGAGAGACAGGCGGAGGGGTGGAGAAGGTCAAACGGGAGAGATGAGCGAAGTGATCACTCCACTTGTCTCTCCCATTAGACCCTCAAGAACTTTTGACCCTTGCGATTAATTTGCTCGTCTCTCCCGCTTAACCCTTAAGAATATTTGACCCTCCACCTTCAACATTTTTTAAAGTAATAGAGATAAAAAAAAATCTGAATTTTGTTCTACTTGTCCTTCGCTACCGTTCCTTCATCGAGCGTCTGCTTTCAGAATGTTTCATGAGTTCGGGGGAATGTAAACAAGTGGTTGCTCAAGATATTACGGGAGAGTGGGGCAAAGTGGAACGGTAGCAAAATTCGGTGTTTAAGGGTCAAGCAGTCGCGAAGGTCAAATGGAAGAGATAGGCGAAGGGATCAAGAGGATCAAACGGGAGAGACGCGCGGAGTTACTCCAATCGTCTCTCCCATTTGACCCTTAAACAACGAAATTCGCGATCGGTCCACTTTGCCCCATTCTCCCCGAAAAAAAAAACTGTCAGTGCTCCATTCTGCCTCGTGTTATAAAACGTTTAATTCACAAATCCTTCGCTCTCCATTTTTCCCCCCTAAAAAAACTGACAAAGAGTGCGGACGACTCAGGACCGACGTTAGTTTCTAATTTAGTTCTTTGGGAAAAATCGACACTCCGTCTAGACTAGCACTCATTCTCTCTCAAGCTTCCCCTCGCGCCTATTCTATTTATACATATATTCCACCTCGTTCATACAACTCGGCCGGCTTTTCGTTTCCCTTTCATCTCGTTACGTCTCCTCTTGATGATGCCTCCTTAAACCCCACTTGTGTCTTATCACCCTAATAAGAAGTTAAAAAGAGCCTGCCAAAGTCATTCATGAAATATATTTTTTTTATTATGCAATTTTTCAGACGAAGATCGAAACTCGTCATCATTTCCGCACGACCTGAGGACAGTGGTCGGTATGAGTGCATTGCACAGAGTAGTTCCGGTTATCGGGCCTCTTTAGCTGCCCAACTTCTAGTCGTGCACGATTCTAAGATTCCAGATACAAGTAAGTTTGAAAAAAAAATTTTTTTTCCACCATCATGGGATAAAGTGGAGCGGTAGTAAAAAATGATTCACTTTTCTTTTCTTGAGGGTCAAACGGGAGAGACGAGTGCAGTGATTTGACTCTCCTGACCCCTTTCTCTCCCATCCGACCCTTAACGTTTTTTGTTATTTTTATATTAAAAAAATGACGAATGGTCAAACGTCCCTGAAGGTCAAACGTTTTTCGAGGGTCAAATGGGAGAGACTCTACCGTTTGATCATCTTGATCCTTTTGCATATCTCTTTAACTCGACCCTTGAACGGGAGAGTAAGATTGAAGGTTAAATATTTGGCAGGGTCAAACGGGAGGGTTGAGGAGTAATCAGAAGGGTGAAATGGGAGAGACGAGGGGAGTAATTAATCCACTTGTCTCCCTCGTCTGACCCTCTTGACCCCTCCTTTTGTCGCTCCCACTTGACCCTAACAACCTTTCTCTACCATCTTTATATTATTTATAAAATGACAATGGGTCAAACGGGAGAGGCAAGTTGAGGGTCAACCATTCTTGAAGGTCAAACGGGAGGAATCAGTTTGAGGGTCAAACGGAAGAGCCGACTAGAGTGATCACTCCACCCGTCTCTCCCATTTGACCCTTAAGACCGTTTGATCCTCCTAACCCCTCCGCCTCTCTCACCCCCTTAACCCTTACAACCTTTCTCTACCATCTTTATATTGTGTACAAAATAAAAAAGGGTCAAGCATACTTGAAGGTCAAGTGGGAGAGACAAGTTGAAGGTGAATCGTTCGTAAAGGTCAAACGGGAGAACCAAGTTGAGGGTCAAATGGAAGCGACCATTACAGAGATCAATCCGCTCGTCTCTCCCATTCGACCCTTAAGAGAGTGATCTCCCATTTGACCCTTCTGACCCCTCCACCCATCTCTCCCATTGGACCCTTAAAAAAATCACTACCGTTCCATTTTGCCCCACCCCCATAAACCAATTCCAGTTCTAACAAATCAATTAATTCCTCCAGCAACATCAGCATGGCCTCGCCAGGAGCAACCGTGCCCCATAGCCGGTGACTTCTGCATGAACGGCGGCACCTGCCTCTTCTTCGAAACGGTTGGCGAGCCGGCGTGCAGGTAAGCCAAATGACTAAATAAAACCGCCGAGAAATGCGAAAAAAATAAAAATACCCCAAAAAAAAACGACCAAGAAGCCCCACTGTCTAGTCAAAACAGTCAGAAAAAAAAATGAGAAAAAAAATGAACCGAGAGGAGGAACCGAAAAAAAAAGAAACGAACTGAAGAAACAAAAAAAATGTAGTGGCACATGCTCTGAAAGTAGGGATTTAACGCAAGTGCCGAGACGTCTAAATTTTCGCGACACATCTGCCAGAGAGTAAAACGCCCAGTGGGGCGAACTATATAGCATCAGTGCGTAAGGTCCAATACCCACTATAAGAGAGAAGAGGACTCTCATTTCGTTGGGACTTATAAATAGATACGACCAAATTATTTTCCAGAGAAGCGTCTCGAGTTCCGTGGCGAGACTTCTTTCGGGGGCTTCGTATGTACATTCATGGGGGGAAAAATAGGGGTTAAGAACCTTGAAGAGATTATTCTTCCATTATTTTTGAGAATTCGATGACGTTCACTGTATTTTTCCCTGTATTTTTTTAAGGAAAATGAGATTTTTTTGGGAGGCGATTTTTTTTGCTTTCCGTATATCTTTTTGTCGGTGAGAATGGGGCGGGAGGAAGAATTTAGAATAAATTCAGATTTTTTTTCATTTCTATTGAAGGTCGAATGGGAGAGTCAGGTGGACGGCGAATGTTCTTGAGGGTCAAAGGAGAGAGACAAGTTCAAAAGGGCTAAACGTCCTTAAGGGTCAGATGGGAAAAGCTGTCCCTTGGACCCTCTTGACCCTTTCGCCTGACTCCTATCTGACCCTTAAACGAGAATCACAGGTTGAGGGTCAAACGGGAGAGACAAGGAGAGTAATCGGAAGGGTCAAACGTCCTTGGGGGTCAGAAGGGGGAACATTCTCCCCTTTGACCCTTTTGACCGTTTCACCTGTCTTTTTAATTTGACCCTTAAAGGGGATACAGGTTGCGTGTTAAACGTTCTTAAGGGTCAAATGGGAGAGACGAGGAGAATAATTAGAAAGGTCAAACGTCCGTGAGGGTCAGAGAGGAAAAACTCTTCCACTTGAGCCTCTTGACCGCTTCACCAATCTCTTCCATTTAACCCTTAAACGGGAGGGACAAGTTGAGGGTCAAACGTTCTTAAGGGTCCAACGGGAAAGACGAGAAGGGTAATTAGAAAGGCCAAACGGCCGTGCGGGTCACAGTGAGAAAACTCTTCCATTTGACCCTCTGGACCATTTTACCTGTCTCTTCCATTTGACCCTTAAACGGGAGACAAGTTGAGGGTCAAACGGGAGAGACGAGGAGAGTAATTAGAAAGGGTAAACGTCCTTAAGGGTGAGAGCGAGAAAACTCTTCCATTTGACCCTCTTAAAAAAAGATGCTCACAAATTTTCCCAAAAACTCTATCTATAAGTGAAATGGACAACCACTTCCAACACCAGTTTTTCTCAAATATCTCAAAATCTACGCAAAATATCGACATACACCTAAGAACCTTTTTTTAAGCTGTTGAAATTCCCCGCAAAAAAGGTTCTCACAAAAATTCCCCTATCTCCCCTAGATTTCAAGATATTTGCCAGGAACTAAACTCATCTCAATTAAAATCGACTCATCTTCTATTTTAATTCCTCAAAGCCTCACTGATTCCTCTCCTAAAATTCAGTCGGGATTTGACAACAACGCATCATGTGTTAAATTTTGTATTGCAGATGTACAGAGGGCTTTACGGGTCTACGATGCGAGACCAAGGACGTGATAAGTACCGGAAGTGTGTACAATCGTCATAGAGCGCCATTCTCATGCAAGTTGGGCCTATCAACATCGTACTACTGCTAACGAATGTGTCATGGAACCCAAATATCGGTATAATTTACTTCACTTTGGCGTTCCCAATTTATTTCTTTCAAATTTCAAAAATATCTTGTAGATTATTTTCAATCTGAGAGAGATATTTATAATTAGATAATTCACCGTAACTTCTGTAACACGAGTTAATACAATTTTTTTATTGATACCGAGAGATAGTCGTCGTTCCGCACATCCGATCCATTGTTGTAATGTTTTTTTTAATCGTGGACTATTGTTCACTGAATAATTATTTTATGTATTTTACGAATTACTATCGGGAATGGAGTGGTGAATCGAGTTTGGATTCCAGTTTTTTTTCAATATCTCGGTAACGAGGGGGTCCAGCAGAAAATGTCTCTCGACCTTTTTTGTAGCTGACAAAATTTCCAACAAAAATTGTCTTAACATATTTTAGGTTAGACCCCCTCGTTACCGAGATATTTTCATGTTTATAAAAAACAAAAAAGTGATAAAAAAGAAGTAACAAAAAAAATCAAATTCGTCTTCAGTTTTTTGGAAATATCTCGGAATCTATGAGCGATAGACAGATTATGATCTGGCCCTTTTTTGTAGCTGAAGAAATTTCCTACAAAAAATTTCTTCACGAAAAATTTACCATCTCCCTCAAATCAAGAGATATTTTGCAAAAACCAAACTGAAACAAAATCGTTTCACCACTTGACTCCTGAATTGCCATTACAGACTGCCTCACCTCTTGCCTTAAATATCCCCTTTCAAAAGAGAAAAAAAAATCCCCAAATTAATCACCTCCCCATATATTTTTACTCTTCATAATGAATATTTCTCCAGAAATATAAAATACCAAAGAAGTGTCTTCCAATGAAACACTGCCGACTGCAAGAAAATACGTGTTTAAGGTGGATTGGACGAATATAAAAACCGCAAATGAATAAATAAATCGATGAAAAATGAATCAAAATAGCCCACATGACGACGATTTTTCACAATTGAAAAGAGATGAAGAAAAAAAATGAGAGAAATTATTTTTAAACGCCGGATTTCGTCAGTCTCGAGATTCTATTTATAATTTATAGTATTTCTAAGTTGTTATTACTTATCATCGTACGTTATATTTAATTATCCACATGTAAATACATGTATACAAACTTAACGGTTAAATTTACACGAGATATTGAGTAACTAGGTTTTTACTACTTTAAGTGACGATGAAAAATTGTTTTTTTTTTCTTTTTCGTTCGTTGAATCATCAGTTTTCCTTGAATACTCAGACAATACACGAGAGAATATTTAATTTATTTATTAATTAACGATGATTGGAGTCTCTGAGAGGAAATTGAATCAATTTATTGAGATTATTTGAGATATTTTTTGGATAATTACCATGTAAACCTTGAAATTATTGTTTTTCCTGCGATTTTTGGATGAAAGGAAGCTTTAATGGCGATAAAAATTACCGAAAAAATTCAATGTCCAACTATAAATGTCTAGTAGCTGGTAAGATAAGATGAGAATGTATTGAAACAAATTTACAGCTTATAATGATGAACATATTTCTTTAATTCTGCCGTTTGTAAAAAAAATAATTTAATTAAATTTGTTTCACACCAGTAACTGAGCGTTTTAATCATTCAATTGGCGAATTTTTACAGGAATTGCTCCAGAGGTGATTGACTTCGATGAAGAATTTGTACGAAATTTTCTAGATTTCAATATTTCTTGCAAAAAAAAAAAATATTTCTTGACATTACATAAAAAAATAAAAATATATATTTGCCACTTCCCAATTAATTATTATCAATATCAATACTCTTCATGTTTCCAGTCACCTCAACATCGAGTAATTCTATTTTTTTAAAACCCTCAAAACATTTTTCCCAGGAAATGTTCTCCTCGAAAAAAAAACTTAAAATTTCCCCCAAAACCCAGTCCTCCCCAAGATAAACTGTCCCTTAACAAAAAAACAGTATGAAAATGATGAAACATGCACTCTCCACATCTAATTAAGCATCACTTATCCCCATGACAAGTGAAATCATCAGAAAAACTCACAAGATATTTTGCAGAAAGTTCTTTCCCTCAAAAAAAGCCTCTGACATTTTCCCCCAACCACCCCAAAATTTCCGCGCCCGTCGCACCTTCCCCTCGCCGCCAACCACTCGTCGACTTCCTCCTCAAATCAACCATCTCCCGAAATTATCTCCACGATACGCATTATCCCCAATTACCCCCCCCCCCCCCCAAATGAACCCATATATTTATTTCTTCAAGGAACTCATTTTCATGTTTATCTTCTTATTCCACTCAACAAACGAAAATAAAAATAAAGACATATTCCCTTGGCATCGTCCCGGCGTCGTCGTGAGCCATCGAGGTCGACGTCTTTGAGTCCACGGTGCATCGTCCCCTCGTATGTATAATTATAACGTAACCAACTTACCTTAGTTGAGTTGAGAGCCGGACCCTCATTTTCGAGTTGATACTTCTCTCTCCTGAAATTTTGAATAACCGATTTTTCACGATTTTTCACGCATTTTTTTTAATCGCCCCCCCCCTCCCCCCCTGGGCATCCGGTGGCGGTTTCATTTTTCTCTGTTTCTCTCGAGCGAGATGAAACGAGAGGCCGAGTTAAGAGTTCTGTGAGGGCAAATGACTCTAGGTTCTATTTCCGGACTCTCGTGAATCATCTCGGGTTCACCTATCTTCCCGTGATTCTAACAGAAGATATTCCACTTGTGCCCATTAAAACACTTGGGCGAGGAGATCAGGAGAGGGGAGATTCTTTATTTCGTTGATTAAGGGGAGGTTCACCCCTGAAAAAACTTATCGTTTTTTCCACTTTAAAAAAATCTGGTGTAACGATTTTTAAAGCCTCTATTCCGTTTATCAAGTAATGTAATATGATGGGTATGTACATTTTTTTATCTCCTGTAATCTTTGTTTACAGTAATTGTAAAAAAAGAGAAATTAATTTCTTACTGTAATAAAAAAATTCATATATACCATAGTATGTAGAGTAGTTTATTATTATATTATTAGTACTAGGGGGCTACGCCCCCTGCTTGCTCCGCTCGCCGACCTTCATATGACCCCCTTGACCCTTATTCTGACCCTTGTGACCCTTAATCGGACCCTCATGACCCTCATTGTACCCCTCGTGAACCTTATTTCAATCCTGGTGACCCTTAGTTTCCGACGCTAGGCTTTTGACCCCGATGTCCCTTATTTGGACCCTTAATTTCACCCTTGTCACCCTTATTTTGGCCCTTAATCCCTGTAACCCTTTCTGACCCCTGGCTTTTAACGCCCATGTCCCCTATTTGGACCCTCACTTTAACCCTTGTAACCCTTGTGACCCTCGTGAACCTTATTAAAACCCTGGCGACCCTTAGTTTTTGACCCTTGGCTGTTAACCCCCATGTCCCTTATTTGGACCCTCACTCTAACCCTTGTAAGCCTTGTGACCCTTAATCTGATCCTTGTGACACTAATTTAGACCTTTAACTTCACCCTTGTTACCCTTATTTGGGCCCTTAATCCCTGTAACCCTTTCGGACCCTTGCAACTCCTAGTTTCTGACCCCCAGGACTTAATCTGATTCTTGTGACTCTCATTTGGATCCTTAATCTGACCCTCATTATAACCCTCGTGAACCTTATTTTAACCTTGGTGACCCTTAGTTTCTGATCCTTGGTTTCTGACCCCCACGTCCCTTATTTGGACCCTCACTCTAAACCTTGTAACCCTTGTGACACTTATTTAGACCCTTAATCTCAACCTTGTTACCCTTATTTGGGCCCTTGATCCCTGTAAACCTTTCTGACCCTTAGTTTCTGACCCTTGGTTTTTGACCCCCATGTCTCTTATTTGGACCCTTACTCTGACCCTTGTGACCCTTAATCTTGCGGACCTTAATCTGACAAACATAACCCTTAATCTGACCCTTGTGGCCCTTATTTGGACCCTTGTTCTGACCCTTGCAACCTTTAATATAATCCTTGTGACCTTATTCTGATCCTTGCGACCCTTATTATGATCCTTATGACCCTTATTTTGACCCTTATAACCCTTATTTTGACCCTCATGACCTTTGTGACCCCTAATTTCGAGTCCCAAATTTTTATCATCAAAGTCGATTTGGATTTTTGTGATGCGATTCTGTGGTTCAAAATTCGAGCTTTCGAAACAGTTTTTTGGATGTACTCACAATTATCGGTTTTTAAGTATGAAAAATGGGGGAGGAAATGCAGTTTGAAGGTCAATTGTCAATCAAAAATAGATCGTCTAGAAATTTTTTTCTCAAAAAACGAAAAAGTTTCGGTTGCTTCCATTCACAAAAAGCAATTGATATTCCCAAAACCGAGCCAAAAATCCACTCCGAAAATACTTAATTCCCTCAAAAATAAGTAGTCAACCTCAAGATCTCTCGCTCCCTGTTGAAAAATCAAGACCTTTTTGTTCCCATCAATATGTCACCAAAGATGCCCTCATTACCACCACTCAATTAAACCCACTCACCTCTACCCATCACCACGAATAATTCCATCTTGAAACTTTTATTACCCACTCCCATCTCCAATCGGATTTTGCCAGAAATTTCTTCATCACTCGACATGAAAATTGAATGGAGAATATTCAACTTCAAACACTACTGATTTTCCCTGCAGAATATTTTCTATTGAAGATTTCTGTTAAAAAAAACAGTGGCCAATTGAATTTTTGAGTGACCGTTGAAAAATCGATTTTTGGAAAAATATCAATTTTTTCGAATCTGTGAAAAATTGAATTTTAATTGGTGTCAATGGATAGAGCTTATTAAAGTCTATATTCATGAAAAAATTCATGAAATTCGATTGATCCCTTCCGAGAATTTTTTTTAAAAATGTCCAAAACTTTTTCTTCAGCTTTCGTTTTCTCATAATTTTGTTCAAGATAAACTCGTTCAACAACTGAATTTTCCCCCCATCCTTCAACTTCATGTCCCATCCACTGAAATCTGAATATTCATTCCCCCAAAAGTTATGACAATCCGAAATCCCCATACAATGTCGTCTCCTCAAAATGTATTAAACCAGAGACAGTATTAAACGAGTTGGAAGCACACAAGAGAGCCATTTCATACGGATCTTACGATTAACGAAAACTTGGCAGAGATGTGTGTTCCGAGGTCTCCGGGATGTGACGGCGAATATTTCTCATCTAAGCCAAGACAAACTTAATGGTTCACGGTAATTCGAGACTTCCGACAGGGTAAGTTTCCAGTATTTTTGGTGGGTGGAGGGGCCGTTAAAACCACTCGGGCGCCAGTCAAATGTCCACTATAACCCAATTATTTTTTCTCTTCGGGGGATATAAACACGTCTCGTAATACTATGTAACAGGCCATTGCTATTTGATGTAGCAAATTCGCGACGCTGATATTCACCCCTTCTAAATTAAGTAATAACTCTCTCTGCCTTGATTTTTTTCTCACAAATCAATTAATAGGAGAATCAGAGGGGTCAAACGTTCTTAAAGTAGTATGAACAAACTCCAGTTGAGTCGCTGAGTGTATCGAGAAAAATAAATCCAAAATGCCCAAAAAATAATCATTCATCATTGACAATTTTTTATATGAATTCTAACTTTGATGAGTATAAGAAATCAGTCAATTTTTTTTCTGATTTTTGGACGATAGTATCTCGTTTGACTAGTGTTTTCATCTACTTCAATGCTAACTTGATATTCATAACATGAAATGTTTATTTACTCCTTCCAATTTTTTCTAGATTCAAATCTTCATTCTAAATTAATTATTATCAACAATACTGTACAGACGATCGACGTTAACTTCCATTCAAAATTTATTTCAGATTCTAATCTTCGAAATCGAGCTGCTTTCATACTACCTTAAGCTTCTTAAAACCATTTCGCCCCAGTCCCTCCTATAAACCACTACAATAGACCCTTAAATAGCTAATTAACTTTATAAATTGAATTTCTAGTCGAACGGTGCAAAGAATGGAATCAAAAACATATTTATATCCAAACGATGACTGGAGTTCCCCAAATACTGTTTATTTACCATCATGCTTATAAGAGATATGAAAATATAAAAATGTTGGGGATGAAAAACTTACGAAAATACGATTTTGAGTGGTGGAAAGTGGAGCTAGGTTTTACGTGTTTCTGTAACTAACGACTGTGTCCATTTTGTGAATTGATGTTGAGAATGATCGTAACTGGACTTCCTGGCCGTTGGCGATGAACACGGGTTGTGTCTCGTCCCACTCCTTGGGTATGCCGACGTCGGGGACTGTGTAAGTGAAGATGTCGAAGGAGCAGAGGCAGTCCAGGAGGGGGAGGAAACTCACAGTACCTGCATTCACACATTAAAATCGTTCATTAGAAAAAAAAACGAAAAATGCGAACATTTTTTAATCGAGAAGAGAAGCCACATTTTGAAGAACTATTTTTTGTAGAGAATTCAACACTTGAAAATTGTTGACAATATTAAAAGACAAACTATTATCTTGTATAATTTTGTACAGAAGTCTAGAATAATTCCTCATCGAGATAATTTAATGTAAAATTGATTGAAAAGAGGTAAATACTTTTTTTGCTAATTAGCTAGTTAATGATGCGTTTAACTAGAGAATTTCGTTTTTTGCAGAGAATTCAATTCTCTAAAAAAAATGTTTTTTGAAATTTTTCTCAAAATCCCATCATTACCAAAATAATGAACAATTTAACAAGATGAAAAATTCACTTTTTGATTTTCATGATTTTTCAATTTTTTGAAAAAACATTTTTCATAGAGAATTCCACATTTGCAAAATGTTGGAGCCTAAAATAATTCCTTATTTAAGAAAATTTAATGTAAAATCGATTGAAAATAGATGAACAGTTTTTTTTTGTTAATTATCTAGTTAATGATGGGTTTAACGAGATAATTTCAAAAGATTTTTTTTGCAGAGAATTCAATTCTCTGCAAAAGATGTCTTTTGTCATTCTTCTGAAAATCCCATCATTACCAAGATAATTAACCATTTAACAAGATGAAAAATTCATGTGTTGATTTTCATCATCTTTCACATTAAAAAAAAATATTTTTCATACAGAATTCAACATTTACAAAATATTGGCGATATAAAAAAAACAAACTATTGTATCATTTTTTTCAGAAGCCTAGAATAATTCCTCATTGAGATAATTCAATGTAAAATCGACTGAAAAGAGAAACAAACTTCGAAGTTTCACCATTTTTTCAACAATTTTCTTTGTTAAATATCTCGATAATGATAGGTTTACCAAGAGAATTTCAAGATTTTTTTTGCAAACAATTCAATTCTCTACAAAAGATCATTCCCAAGATAATTAAAAAATTAAGACGAAAAATGAAAGATTCACTTGTTGATTTCCCCAATTTCCCCGTTATTGTCACAATAATTATTTACAAATTATTATTCTTTCTACTAATTATCTCAAAGTCTGATTTAAAAACTCAACCTTCTCCGCTAAAAAAATCCTAAGACAACAAAACATAAACAATAAATAACAAAATAAAATAGCAGAAAAACACTTGAACATAAAAACAAAGGAATGAATAAATAATTTCACCTGTTATTTGCCTGATGACCTCTCGAATCTCCTTCTGAATGGCCTGAACATCCTTAGTCCCGACCTCTGGTAGCCTCCCCTTGCCCTTATCGCCCTCATCGCCCTCATACGCGACCTTGAAGTCCCACTTCTCGAGAACCTCCTTCGTATTTACATTAGTGATAACAAGTGTGACTTGATGAATTTTCCTCTGCAGAAGCCACTCCTCAACCTGACCGAGGACAGTGTCCATGAAATTCTTGATTTTTTCATCAGTCGACATGAGGATGGCCATGCCAAAGTGCTCAGCAGGCTCAAAGGTCTCTGGTGGATAGATTCCACGCTGATACAAGATACTGTTGATCCCATAGACTGAATAAAATCGATGAAAGGTCAGTCCTTTGTCACCAAAAACAGAGGGAAAATAATACGATCAATCAAACTCACGAAGATATTTCTTCACCAACTCTGCAGAGCCCTTCAGGGTGATGCACTTTCCCTTCTGCTGGGTCTCCATCCTCTCGGAGATTCAACTTCCAGTCAATTGATAAAAATAGAAAGACTCAGATGTTATTCGCTAAAGGGCTTTAACGTTAATTTGGAGGTTATGCGGCTAGTGTCGGTTTTGGCGGAATTTGAATTTGAAAAGCGCTTGGAATTGCTCGTTCGGAGTGGAAATGAGGAGAAATTGTGATGAAGAGGTTTGTGGGAGAGATCACAGAGGGCGGGACTGGGAACTGGCTCGGTAGTGACGTTAGGGATCGTCACGACCATCTAATGGTGGAGAATAATTATTATGGGATGGTATCTCTTCAACGGGGAATAACTTTCGAAAAATTTAATTTCAACAGAATATTTCCTAGTCGACGCATCCAAGTGACTCTTATTGATTCCCTCGTGACTCTTATTTTTGAATTATATAGGCTGACGATGGAAACAAACCTTTTTTTTTTCACCCCAAGCCAATATGCCATATTTAGGCTTTTTTCGGGGGGAAAGTCGACTTTCGCCAAAATCGAATTTTTCCGCCGGGTGAACGCCGATTCTGTATTTTCCGGCCCGCCTGAGTAGTGGCGGCTATCTCTACATTTGATATTGTCATGGTGGTTCTCTCAGCGGACATATTACTCTTTCTCTATGCACAACATGCATGTGGACTATTTGCAGCTTTGGGGTGATACTGATACAATATATACTTTTCACATGGATTTCATTGGATGTTGTTTAACGTAATCGTTTTGTGATAAGACTTGCCATCGAAAATTTACCGGTTAATGTCCTTTCTCGGTCAGTATATCAGAAAGTGTGCCATAATACATCATCGAATACTTGAGTAAGTAACCATTGAGACGCATCTTCATTATTGATCGAATGATGATCTCTCCACAGGTTTTCAAACACCATTGAAAATATTTTTTGCTGGAATTTTTTCGTTACGGTTGGACTTAACATGATGGTCATAAGCATGACCGCGGTGCAGGTAGATTAGCTTTTAAGAACTAACAAACAGCGATTCCGAACGCTTTTTCTTCTAGGTTGTCATCAATTTGAATCCAGTAGCCTTACTTTTGAAGACCATAATGTTCACGACAGCATCTGTGATGCATCTGTTCATCCAATGTTTCATGTCACAACAGATTATAGAAAGCAGTCTTGGCGTTCAACAAAGCATGTAGGTATTAAACGTATTTTGGTTATTCTTAGGGCGCGTTTTTGGTTCAATTCAACCACGGCTAGCCCGTGGTTACAGTTAAATCAAGACTCCGTCACCACTGAGTCCAACCAATCCGTAGACTACGTCTATGAACCAATCAGCGATCTTAACCCGGAGTTGACTTAACTTTAATCGTGATTACCTAAACCAGAAACTGGCCCTTATACTTTTCCGGATTTGAAGATCTCGTTTGCCCTTGAGATCCAGCCGCATCAGGTCATGGCTGTGCGTCAGTAGCACACTGAGTAAGCAATGTAAAATCATCATTGATCATTGTATCCTGGTGTGTTTGATGGCTTCGATGCATCACTAGGTCTTGATCTAGGAATTAATGTCATCACTGAATTATGTAGAGGTACCATCGGTAATATGTAACACTTGAATTTTTTTCTTCATTGTTCTTCTACGGATCAACTAATCTTGTCGATCTAACTATCCGTCATGTAAGTGAAATAAGAAATCTGTAAGTCCAAGCAAAGGATCATCATATATTCTCATCTCGATCAAAATATGTAAGAATATACAATGGGAATGGCGTGAGTACATCTAGAATCAACTCACTCACCGGTGTCTTCCACAACAATGCCAGAACGATCGTGGAAACAATGAACTTCGATTGCATTTCTCGAATAACACTATCATGTATTCACGGAGCGTCACTCTTTGATGGTTCCACCCGCAATTTTCCCTCCGCTGATGAAAAGAAAGAAAACAACTGTTATTTCACAGGCGTTCTCGCAATTATGGCCAGACTGCCGAAATATTCAGTCTGAGGTATCTATCCAAGATGGTGGAATGATGCGAAAATTGAAGGTGTAGATACCTCGAGTAAACTTTCCGTGAAAATCATAAGGTGCGAATTCTTGGTAAAAAATATTCTAGTTGATATCGATTGTCTTTGACTGACGTTTGTCGGTACACCTGTGTTCAACTCATCACTTCCGCCCACAAAATTTCTTATTCCAAGAGACTTCGGGATAATGGACTATTGTCTGAGCCAGGTGTTGTGTTTCGACGTCAGCGTAACGAAGGGTTTGGGGCACCAACTTATTTACTACGGGAGTGGGGAAGGAGGATTCAATCGATACGAACTGACTTTACAGTTTCACCAGAGGAGCAGAACACAGAAAGAAATAGTGGATTAGCTTTAGAAAAGAGTTTCTAGATTCTAGAAACCATGATTTCTAATCTTCACTTTTCTACGATCCAGAAAGTATTTTCCAAGTTCTAGAAAAAAATTGTATGGAGTTAATGATCAACATTGCTATTAAGTCTAAACCGTAATACAGTGGACTCTGGTTAGAGTCGACTGTTTTGCGGAATAGGGGAAGCGAATTCGGAGAATGCGACTCTATTTCCCTGCCCCCACTACGCGCTCACGCCGAGCCGGACTTCCGAGAAAACGGAACGATAAAATGAAAAATACTATTTCTTTTCTCTCTCAATTCAACACTTTATTTTAATGATAAACTTTGTTCACAGTTTCAACTATAATAGCAATATTCGTATAGATTCAGACGATTTTTTTATTATCAATATTTTTAATTTCATTGACTATATTTGATCACAGAAGCTTTGTACCTCATNACTATTTCTTTTCTCTCTCAATTCAACACTTTATTTTAATGATAAACTTTGTTCACAGTTTCAACTATAATAGCAATATTCGNATAATAGCAATATTCATATAGATTCAGACGATTTTTTTATTATCAATATTTTTAATTTCATTGACTATATTTGATCACAGAAGCTTTGTACCTAACATTCCATAGAACAGATATTTCTTCTGGAGTTAACGAACCATGTGAATCAAAAATGTTACAGTCGTTTTCTTTACCTCCCTTCATTATTTTATTTAATCCAATTTCGAATTAATTTTATGCCAACAAAACGAGATCCTCCCCCCATAACAGCCAGAAGTGGACTAAATTTTTTGATCGACAATTCAAATGCAGAATATTTTATTTTTCGTCTTTACTGGAATCGGAAGACAATAGCAATTTGAAGAAAATATTGGAGTGTTTACTCTCTGGCTTGCGTGGGGACAGAGTGGGGGAAGCGCTCGAGCGGCGAGACAAAAAAATTGAGGGGAAGTTCGACACTAACCAATATGCCTCTAACCAGAGTCCACTGTACTCTAAATTTGAGAAAAGATATTTTCTAAAGTCTAGACAATTTCTTGAATTTTGTGAGGGGGTCTTTTGTAAAGAGGGGGGTTATCTATGAAGCAAAGTTTTGTGGAAGAGGGAGGGGGTCTTATTGACGAGGTGTTCGTGTATTGGGGCGTTTAGTTTGGTCGAGGTTCCAGTTCTAACAAGTCCTACTGAGTGCTACTTACGTCCCGAATCAGGACTAAGAAGGAGTACTTCAAGTATTGATGAAATTCTTAGAATTCTACCCTAATTCTTGGATGGTCTGGAGGATACCTGGGTTCGGGGGGTCTCCCCATTCCCCATATATAGATTTAAATGTTGCCTCCCTTTTTGGGATTCACTCCAGCTGCCTCCACTGGCTCTGAAAATTTAATTCCTAAAGTAACTAATTTAACTAAATAAATCTAAATTTAAATTATTAAATTAGATCAGTTAAATTACATGAATAATTTTAAATTTAAAAAATTGCTGTAAGAAGGACAGTGGAGGTAAAGGAACATCTTATAACTAAAGAAATCAATAATTCTAATAGTCATAAACGCAAAGGAATTATAGATGAATTGACCCATACAACAACTTAGGAGCGTTTACCATGGATGACTAAAGAGAATTAGAAAGGACTTAAATCTTGACACGGGTTTCTAGAATCTAGAAACTCCTTTCTAAGGCTCATCCACTATTTCTTTCTGTGAAGTCATGCGGCGAAGAAGTATGGTTGGGACGAGCAATAGCGAAGACTTCTGGGATCAGCCTTACTACTGGTTTACAAAGACTGTGTTTCGGGCGATTGGTCACTGGCCGTATCAGTCACGGCTGGAACTTCTCATGTGCCGCACAGTACTACAATTCACTTATTGGATTCAAATAGTACCACAGGTGAGCCATCATTACAGTAGACTCTCGCTAGTTGCTCATCGAAAGGGCTGTAGGGGTAATATTTCCAAGAAATGAGCAACTTTCCACCGGCCCCCACTCCTCAACCGATGCCGATCCAAGTTCTCAGAAAAATGAGGGGGAATGAAGAGATTTATTTTCGAATAAAATTATTTGGGCCTCTGTGTTTACGTACGGAGTACAAAAGAAAGCGATAGGGTGGTAAATTTCTGGTAAATTTTTACGTTTTTTTTCTGGTAATTTTTCTTGAACTTTTCTCTCCGTGCAGGACAAAATATTGTCGAACAGTTTGTTAGGCAACCTTATTCTTGTGCCTCTAGATAATCGCAGTCATTCGTCATTATGACGATTTAGATCTCATCATGGAGACGATGAGTTCCTTTATTACTGATATAGCTGTAATATGCAATTTGAGTACGTTCTTTTTCAACTCTGACAAGGTAGATGATGTATATCACTGTATTAAGTTCTTATGTAAGACCGGATTGACCGTGATATTAATTGTCAGATTCAACTCCTCCTGGAGCAAGTCAAGGAGGACTGGAATATTTTTCCAATGGATAACGGGTTACAATTGCTCCACGAATATACTCAATTGGGAAAACAGAGGGCAATACTGTATTCAGGTTGGTCAGAAAGTGGAAAGCACGTGAATGACAAGCTTTTTCTTAATTTTTGTTCAATTTTTTTTCCAGGCGGTCTCTATGCCTCATGGTTCGTGTTTGTAAGTGAACCAGTACACGTCAAGTTATTTCTCCTCTTCAAACCATCGAATAAAACATTGCCATTGAGATTCGCTATACCAGTGGATTATGGTCCACTTGACATGGAAAAATACTATTACACTATTCTAGTAGTAGCAGCTGTCTCCATATTTGGTATTGTCACGGTGATTGTCTCAGCTGACATATTACTGTTCCTCTACGCCCAACATGCGTGTGGGATATTTGCAGCATTGGGGTGATGTACTGATACAATATATACTTTTCACATGGCTTCCTTAGCATGATTTTTAACGTGATCGTTTTGCTATAAGATTTGCCATCGAAAATTTACCAGTTGATGACTCCTTCCGGGATAAGACGAAAGATTATGAATATCAGTATATGAAGAAGTGTGTTATAATACATCATCGAACACTTGAGTAAGTAAATGTGGAGATGCATCTTCGTTATTGATTGAGAGTAGTCTCCCAACAGGTTTTCGAACACCATTGAAGATATTTTTTGCTGGAATTTTTTTGTGATGATTGGGCTCAACATGATCGTCATAAGCATGACTGCGGTGCAGGTAGTCTCATTCTGAAGAACTAACGAATGAGATGGGGAATACAGCTTCCCTTGACGGATCACTCGATAGGGGGTTCCAGTTGTTCACCCAGTCAAAGGCTAGTCGATCATGGTTTGATAGATCGACCATCGATCAACTAACGATCGAGAATCGATCGACCAACGATGGATTAGCAATCGACTAAACATCGACCTATGATCGACCATCGATCGACTAGTGATCAAACAACGATCGACCGGCCATCGACCGAGTGAACAAGTCGACCTCCTGTTGAGCTACCATCGAGTAGTCATTAATCGATCTGTCAGGGTCGCACCTTGGAAGTTAATTCTGAGGGCTGATTTTCTAGGTTGTTACCAATCTGGATGCAGTAGCCAGACTTTTCAAGACCTTGGTTTACGCGATTGCTCTGACGGTGCATCTATTCATTCAATGTTTCATGTCACAACAGATTATAGACAGCAGTCTTGGCGCTCAACAAAGCTTGTAAGCATACTTCATCATTCATTACAGCTTATACTCATCAAGATTTAGAGACCCTAATATCTGTACATTCTAGAATGAATGCGAGATGGTATCTCAGTACAGACCAAACGAAACAATTGTTGCAATTTATGATCATGAGGAGTCAAATTCCGTGTCAGCTGACTGCCGGGAAGGTGGTGCTCATGTCCCTAAATACATTCAGTTCCGTAAGACACCGAGTTGGATATTTCTTAATCATCATTTCACTTTTAGTCTCGTATACCTATTATCCTTGCAATAATTATTAATTACAGATAATCAGAACCTCGGTGACTTATTTCACAGTATTCTTAGACATGCAATAAACTATGGAATATTAGTACCACCCACTTGTTAAAAGGATGATTCTGGAAGGCAGAATATGGAATCTCAAATTTATTGAGAATAGTCTCTAATCATTCAATCCTATTCGACTGATTTGTAAGATTTTAGTGGAGAAAATTTCCGATATTAATGCATATGAATCTCTGTACATTTTCCAAACATCGTCGATGAATATATTTCGTAGCTAAATACAAAAAATTCCAATAGCCCGCAAACCTTAACGCCCTTGCTTCTCGTCCGTCGCAGGTCGTCTTGCCGTGAGGCGAGTGGGGGTAATCGTGGCGCATGCATGCGCTGGAGAGTGGGGACGTGGTACATGAATAACGGGGTTAAATATTTCTATCACAAAATTTTTTTTTTTTATCTTATGAAATTGAAACGCAGAGCGAGACGAGTCTTTGCACTCATCGAGGGAAAATTTATGCTGACCGCTTATACGACGTTAACCAAGTTAAAATTGAAGTTAAATTAATAGCCGCGAACTACTGATCATAAAGTATGGAACAAACGAAATGGAGAGGAGGAAATTGAAGACATCAACTTACGACTGAAAACGTACTCTGGAACAAACCTTTTTGACAATCGCAAAAAAAACTCCCGAAATGCGCGCAAATTTCTTCTTCACGTACAAATAATCACAACAATATTCTTATGGAAAACTTACGGATGGACATTCTTTATCCAAATGAAACACGTGCAGCTGCTGCGGTCGCTGCGAGTTTATGGTGCTCGACTTCATCTATGATTCGCACTGCCCAGAAGAAAGAAAGTTGATGCCCATCAACTGTTATTTTCCCTGCGATTTCACACCAGCAGGTGCCTTCTGCGAATGTCATGAGTAACGTCTGTAATCAAGAAGGTGGGGTGTTGTGAAAATTGAAGGTATAAGCACCCGCTGGTTTTCAACTGATGTTTGCATGTGCGTCTACGTTTAACTCTTCACCCCCTCCCACAATATTTCGTATTCCAAGAGACTGTCCGATAATGCACTACTGTCCAACACCGATGGTGTGTTCTGACAGTCGTCTGATGAAGGGTTTGGTACTTCTTATGATACGCAAGGAGTAGGAGAAAGGTGTAATCGATACTGAATAACTTTTTGGTCTCAGTTGTGGAGCAGACCTCGAATTCAACAGTCAGTATGGACATAATAAGCGATGAAATGGACTTCTGGGACCAGCCTTACTACTGGTTGACGAAAACTGTGCTTCGTGCGATTGGTCACTGGCCCTTTCAGGCCCGGAGGGAACGCATCATATGCCGCATAATCCTGCACTTTATTTATTGGATTCAAGTTATACCAGAGGTAATGTACCAATCCACAAATTGTCTTCGTTGTTGTCATGGATTTACTTTTTTGCGCAGGTTATTGTTGTTGTACGGCACTTCGATGATGCTGACCTCGTCATGGAAACGGTGAGCTCATTCCTGATTGATATAGGGGCCATAGCCAATATATGCACCTTCATCGTCTACTCTGATAAGGTAAGGAAACTGTATCTCTGGATTCCATGATTTTCATTTGAATAGAAGACGTCACTCCTGAAGCGATCTCGAAAGGGCAATCTTTAAGACGAGAGTTTTCAGATTCGAAACCTTTTGGAAGAGATCAAGCAAAACTGGAAAATTTTTCCAAAGCACAATGGATTACAACTACTTCATCAATATTCTCAATCGGGAAGGACTAGATCAATAGTATATTCAGGTGCATTCAAGTGTCGATAATATGACTGCTATCCAATGGGTGCTGAAACTCTTGTCATATTGCTTTTTCGGTTCACAGCCTATCTCTGGGCCGCGTGGTCGGTATTTGTTAGTGAGCCAGTACATTTCAGACTGGTTCGTCTCTTCATACCATCAAATAAAACATTGCCAATGAGGTTCGCTATACCAGTAGATTATGGTCCACTTGACGTGGAGAAACATTATTACACTATTTTAGTCGTGGCAGCTATATCGATATTCGCTATTGTCACGCTGATTATCGCTGCTGACTTATTGCTATTTCTGTACGCACATCATGCTTGTGGACTACTCGCCGCATTGGGGTGATGTACTGATACAATATATGCTTTTATCACGGGATAAATTGGATGATTTTTAACGTAATCGTTTTGGGATAAGATTGGCCATCGAAAATTTACCAGTTGATGCCACTTCTCCGAGAAAGGCGACCGATGATGAGTACCAGTATATGAAGAACTGTATCGTACTACATAGTCGAACAATTCGGTACGTAACTGTTAAGGATACATCATCGTTATTGATCGAACCAGCTATTTCTGACAGATTTTCAGACACCGTTGAAGAGATTTTCTGCTGGAACTTCTTTATGACCATCGGACTCAATATGATTGTCATCAGCATGACTGCATTCCAGGTAGAATAGTTATGAGGAACTACCAAACAGTGTGCAAAATATAGAATTTGATCCTGAGAGTCAATTCTGAATGATGATTTCCTAGGTGGTAACTAATCTGAATACCCTACCCAGACTTTTCAAGACCTTAGTTTTTGCAGTGGCTTCAGTGATGCATCTGTTTATCCAGTGTTTCATGTCGCAACAGATTATAGACCTCAGTCTTGCGATTGAACAAAGCCTGTAAGTATCATCTGTATGCGACTACGAAAATTAACTTCCTATGATTAATGAGACGTGTTCTTCGTCTTCAACAGGATGAACGCAAAATGGTATCACGCTACAAGACGAACCAAGCAGTTGATGCAATTTATGATGGTGAGAAGTCATTTTCCATGTCAGTTGACTGCAGGTAGAATGATGCTAATGTCTCTGGATACATTCAGTTCTGTAAGAAACCTCGTTTTGTGAAGGCAATAACGATTTTAGGCCGTCTGAGCCAAACATCTTTATTATTTACAGGTCATCAGAACATCCGTAAGTTACTTCATGGTATTTATGGATATGCAGTGAATGATCAACTTGAAATGCCCCGAGAATATCCTCTTGCTATTCAATGGCACAAGAGTAATTTTTAATACTTCGACGACAAATATTAGCAAATATTAACATGTGAATTTCAATAGATCATCCGCCCACTTGTTAATTAGTCATTAAAATATACGTACAATTTATTAGTTGAATATCAACAACTTTCATCGACTTGCAGAGGTTTCACCTTCTCACATGAGACGACTGCAATTCAATCAGATGAATTAAATTCTTTTTTTTTTCGTTTTCATTTGCGCTGGAAAGCCCTTACGGGTTTATTCGGCCTACCCCGCTGTGTCTGACGCATTCACCCCTGCGTGAAGGAGGAGTTGCGGGGAATCACAGAAAACTTTTGTCGATACAGTCGGTTACTCTATTATCAACCAACCAAAGCATTGATCCACGAGCAACAGAAGTAGGCAACAAAATCGAAGGCATAAGCAACAGCTACTGTTTTGGATTGTGCGTTGGAGCGTGGGTCAAACTGTGTGAAATTCATACATTATTTAATTGTAGCATCTAGTCAAATAATTACCATCGGTCGGAAAATATCCATCCGTCGGTATGTCACCGGCGTATGGAATGTATCCGGTAGTTGGCGATTCTCAAATGAAATTTTTCACAAAATTATCCTCCAAAACGAACCCCGACCGCTTAGCAGTCAAGCCGAACCATGTGATTTAATGACCGCGACCACTGGACGTCAGGATAAATTGAATTCAATAAATTTGTAATGGTTGGTAAAGCAGTGATTCAGACTAAGATTCATTCTATCAGCAGCAAATCACCGTCGATCCACCCTATCCAGTCGCAGTAACAAGCCAGAAAACTACTGATTCTTGATTCATCAATCCCGTATCATGATTTCTGAAAGAGAAACGGCAGAGTGTTGTTTTAACCACTTGCTAACAGTTTAAATTCAACCGAGGGGGGTATATCCAGCTGAGATTTGCGGGTTTAACTAAATTGTAGGCGATGCGATGCAAATGGTTCTGTAACAGCTTCCCCTCCAGGGTCCCTTACTCACTCTTCCGGGTGTATTAACAACGTTGGCCCTGCCACTGGTTTAAACCTCAACGTCCCTATACATATTTTAACACGCCCGGCAACCGCAAGAAAATTGCCTATTACGTATAAACGATTGCTCTATATGTACATGAATACATTCAAGAAACAAATGGATTTTTCGACGCATTTTATAACAGCCGCAGGCTGAAAAAATAATCGGAATGATCAATGTTTCGGCATCAACAGTCAAATATACATGAACAGAAGCAAAAATATATCATGCAAAAAACAATATTTCGCGAGGAGGGGGAGGGGTGAGAGGGGGTCGAAGATAATAAGGGGTTGGCGCGTTTTGTGGAGGCGGGGCGCGAGTGCCATCAGTGGCTCTTTTAGTACGCGCTTACTCGTTACACCAAGGCTGTTTAATTAAACTTGTAACGCTTCGGCGCAGGATAACTACGATCTTGTTATGCGCCTGGCGTAGACTCCTTCTACTATGTATATCTTTGTCATAACCTCCCCTTCCCCTACCTTCGATTGCCGTGGATTTAGTTACAGCTTCGGGTAATAATCTGATGTCTATATTTGTGACGAAAATTTTGGAGGGATATTTGAGAAGCTGTTCGATGAGAGGATGTCCATTTCCGAGGAAGTGAGTAGATGAAATTTTTTGAGTGGTTACATTGAGAGATATAAGGAATCAATTTTAAACGAGTGGGATATGGCTTTCATCGTGATATAGTCAATATTTTTTTTCTAATCGACAATCTGCTTTCGAATGGAATTTCTGCGATGATGTATTTTAAATTGAATTCAATGATTCATTGAATTCAATATTGGTGCTACGTGGGCAGCTATCATTGGCTCAATGTTTGTAGCCAACATTGACCCAATGCTGGCAGTCAACACTGCCTCAATGTTGGTACCAACATTACTGCAATACTGGTAGTCAATATTTACTCAATGTTGGTAGTCAACATTTACTCAATTTTGGTACTCAACATTGCCACAATGTTGGTAGTCAACATTTACTCAATGTTGGTAGTCAATATTTACTCAATGTTGGTAGTCAAAATTTACTCAATGTTGGTAGTCAACATTTACTCAATTTTGGTACTCAACATTGCCACAATGTTGGTAGTCACTATTTACTCAATGTTGGTAGTCAATATTTACTCAATGTTGGTAGTCAAAATTTACTCAATGTTGGTAGTCAACATTTACTCAATTTTGGTAGTCAACATTGCCGCAATGTTGGTAGTCAATATTTACTCAATGTTGGTAGTCAATATTTACTCAATGTTGGTAGTCAACATTTACTCAATGTTGGTAGTCAACATTTACTCAATTCTGGTAGTCAACATTGCCGCAATGTTGGTAGTCAACATTGCCTCAATGTTGGTAGCCAACGTGACCTCTATATTGATAGCCAACATTGGCTCAATATTGATAGTCAATATTGGTAGCTAACATTGGCGCAATGTTGGCAGCCAACATAGTCCCACCATTGGCAGCCAACATTACCTCAACGTCGGCCGCCTGTTGACTTGACGCATACAATGCTTCCGTCCGGACCCAAAAATGAGATTTTTTTGTCGCAGCAGTTTCTCCCAAATTTTAAACGATACTTTCTCGCTTTTTGACTGAAAAAACTTGAAATACTTAATTTTGTCAACTTTTCCGGAAAAAATGGAAAATGATCATGTGTTCGGCATGATGTTCAACATAGATTAGGGATAAATCATGCTGACCCTCGAAACACCTACCGCGCTCACACCGTAGCCTCGAGCATCTACTCTCCATACCCTGTATCTTCCTATGGTTCATCCCCAACAGTTGTTGTTATGTCAAACTACCCGATGATAAAACAAGAGAACAAAGAAGGGACAAAAAAACCCACGGTTATATTTAAAGTAGAGCAGTTTGGTTAACTAGTTTCACGGCTTGTTCACCGTGGCAGTGGCAGTGCCATCAAGAAGCCAACGATGGAGTCATAATGTCCGGAGCACCCAGTTGTAAAGCGATTTGAAGTAAAGCGTCATCTCGGTGAATGAGTTTATTGCGATTATTGGTTATCCGTGTTAACGTTGAAAACAAGAGCGTCTCCCCTTTTGGAGACATTACGAGGTTCAGAATTATTGGGAATGTAAAATATATTGTTAATTTTGGAATAACTGGAAAGTGTGATTTCCCTTCTCCTGAAATTGCTGGACAGAGTGGTATCATAATTCATTCTATAAATCCGCTGGGCAATGAATTTCACTCAGAAACTTCACTAGATAATCTGAAGTCTGTGAACAAAATTATTGAAAGTCCAGATTAATTTCTTCCAAAGTTGATGAAATTTAAACGTGATGAAATATTTTTAATGTAAGGAAAATTTCTATTGAGGATATTCGAGTACTTTGACGATTTTTTTCTTTGACATCAGATTTTCTGACTCCAATCTTGACATTAAACCGTTAGAAAACATTTTAAAAATCTGAAAAAAAAATTACAAAGTTTACTTTTGTAGAAAGATTAATAAAATGATTGAAAAATTTCAATTTCAGAAAATTACGGGCATTTTCTTAAAATAATTTATACACGTCGTAACAAAGTTTAAACAATTTCAATTATTCATTACAAATTATAAATTATAAACAACGAATGTTAAAAAAAATAATAGTTCTTTCCAAAATGTAATTTGAGTAACGCTGAATATTCATGATTTTTTTCAAATTTTTTTTCCGCAATTTAATTGACAAATTTGATGATTGAAAAAGGTTGAATCTATAATGTGATCTTTACCAAACTGTAAAAGATACTTGGATATCCTTAAATCAACAACAATATTTCCCCGCAAATTCTATAAATTTAACCGTAACGCCTGAAGATAATTGAAATTGGAAGCTTATCGGTAACTTCTACGCGATTGCATCGACGCTAGTCTGCACTCGGGCAAAAGCTCACCCGCCGCTTATCGTTAATCGGAGGAACAAGAAGTTTTGCACAAGTAGCAATCGGCATGAATTTTCCAACGAACCTATATATAACATTTGCTTTATATAGTTGAAGAGGAAAAGGGGGAGAGAGTACACACGCGTCTATGGCGCCGATGAATTCTACTTGGTGCACAGTGAGCACATTTTCTCAGATTGAAAAGCTTTCGCCGTATGAAATATGGGTCAGAGATATACGAGTGAGAGAATGGTGGAGGGCCAACCCTTCCCTACGCCGACGGCTTTAATGGAATTAGTATTTAATAGTTGAGGGTTGCGGGATAGCTGTAACGCTTAGCACTAGTGTAGTCAGTATAAACGAGGGGTTAGGGTGGAAGAGTATAAAGAATACTGTCGCAACCAAGTGGATTCACATATTTTTTAAAAAAATTTCCATCGACACTCACTTGAAAAATAATATTTCATTCCGAAAAATACTCATTTTGTTTCGGGATAAGTAAAAAGGGGTCGGATGGGAGAGGCAGGTGGAGTTATCGGAAGGGCCAGATATTTTTAAGTGTCAAAAAAGGAAGGCCGAATGAAAGAATTGGACAGGTCAAACGGAAGAGTAGGCGAAGCTCTCCCCTTTGACCTTCACCATAGTTTGACCCTTTTGATAACTTCAGTCTTTTTCGTCATCATAAGGGACAAACGTATTTGAAGGTCAAATGGGAGAGGTTAATGTGACAACCAGAACGCCTCTCTTGCTCTCCCACTTGACCTTCATGAGTGTTTGACCCTTCTGATAAATTCACCTGTCCCTTCCGTTCAATATTCTTGAGATACAAACGGAAGAGATAGGCGGAGTTATCCTGAAGCTTAAAAATTCTTCAAGGTCAAACGAGAGAGTTGAGGGACACAATCAAAAAGGTCCTCTTGCTCCCCCTTTTGACCTTCCGAATAAATCGGTTGGTACTTTCTAAATATTGAACAAAAAAAAGTTCTCCAAATTGTTTTGGTCAAATACCTTTCAAGACTGTGATAACTTTACCTGTCTCTCCCATTTGACCCTT